TTCGTCGATTTAAAATTAATATAATCCTAAATAATATTTTATTCCGAAAAAAACCGGTATTATAAAAACTAAGCTACCTAATTTTTTTAATAAATAAGCTTAATTTTAACCGTATAGCTTTAAATATTAAAATTTATATAAAATAATATTTTTTATAAAAAAACGGGGTTTTTAATATTTTAATTTTAAAAATCGAATTTAAAATATTAGTCGGAATTTTAAAAATTAAATTTTAAAAATTAAATTCCGCTAGCATCTTATTAAATAATATAAATATACGGAAAATTTAATAATAACTTAGCTATATATATATTAGGCTTATAATTATAATAATTAAAAAAACTTATAATTTAAGGTTTCGATATTACCTAATAAAAGCGGTATATAAGCATAAATAAATAATTAAAAATAGTTTAATTTTATATAAATAAAATAAAGGATAAATTATATTTATATATTTATTTAAGAGCTTTTATAAAGCTTAATTAATTTAGTTTAAAGATCCTTTTAAGAATTATAAGTGTATAAAGTGAATGTCCCGTCATATATTTTTTAGCTTATTTTATAATTATAAAATGCGCGTTTATTAATTTTTATTCTAAGGTATAATTGGTGGATCATATAACTTAGTCACAAGGAAGCGTTCGTATAATTCGTAAAATCAGGCCGTAAAAGTAGTTATAGGGCTATATAATTAATTTATTAAAGCTTAAGGAAAAAATAACTAATTACGGAGGAATAACTACCTTTTATATTTATAAAATTAACTAATAAAAATATTCTGGAATATATTACTAATAAATTAGATTATAAATTAAATTAATTAGTAATAAGGTTAATTTATAATCGAAAAAACTATAAAATTCTATAAATTTCTACGGTATAAGTTACCTTATAATTTTAGGACCACTATGGCTAGGTGTATTAGCTATACTTAGTGGGGCTTGATCTAGTGGAACGTTTTATTGGATTCCAGTGGGTTCCAGTGGCCATAGTGGCCATAATAGTCAATTATAATAATTTGTTAATTATATAGCACTGGGAATAATGGCTATAAATAGTGCTGTATTAACTATAAGTTAATATAGGGTAAATTCCACTGATTTCCCATATATCGTTATTTAACGATATTTCGATGGGTTTTATAGCTATTATAACGATTTAATATGCGTTATAAAGCTAATTTTATGCATTATATAATGCTGTATTAACATCCGTGCAATAATTTTTTATTAAAAAATTAAATAATTTATATTTCTTTTTGCTTTTTTATTATAATAAAAAAGCTTTATACCTCGTCGGCTTTAGCAATAATAAAAAGCAATTTAAGGGTTATTTAATTATATAATAGGTTAATAATAGCGATTATATTAATAATCCTTATTAATCCGTTATATTCCGAAAATTAAAAAAATCGACCCGACCTTTTTTTTTATAATAAATTAAAAATTATTTTTAATTTTTAGGGCTTTATAATAATAATATTTAGTAATACCTTAATTTTTTTAATTTCGGTTAAATTACGTATTATGCTAATATTAGGTTTTGTTATAATAGGTAAATTCGGATAATTAGAGTTTATCGGTAGTCGGCGTTTTAAGGATCTCGGTTAAAGGCGGCTTAAATAAATAGCGAAATGCGTAAATAGCTATAGCGGTCGCCGGATTAATAGGATTATATATTATAAATAATTCGGATAAAATAATTCTTATAATTAATTAATATATTTTTGCAATTTAATTTTTAATTATAATTCGAATAAAAATATTTAACCGTAATACCTTTATTAAATTTTTATAATAGTAAAATAAAATACGTACCCTTTAAGTGCGTGCACGGGCTATATAATAATTTTTTTTATATAATAATTATTTCCCCATATAATAATTATCTGCATATAATAATTATTTATTATATAATAATTATATAATAAAGCAATTATTATAATATTGCATAACTATTATGCGCTAAATAATCATTGTTTAACCACGCACCCCCCCGCTACGGTAGGTTGTAAATGCAACTGTTCTATTAGTTTACATATGTACGTATTTTGATGGATCGGTAGCGCCGTCTTCACCTGCGATACACCGGCGAGACCAGTCCTCGGCCGATCCAATAACGAAGCATAAGAAGCTTTTTCCCAGTTGGCCATCCGTAAAATTCGTAGAGTTTTACATCCGCGGATAATGCCACTGTACTTGCGCTGGTCGATATTCGACCGAGATAAAGGACTAATAGTCCCTCTGCTCGGTCGGTATACTATTGCGGGCCAGAGAGCGATGGTGAGACTACTGTTGACTATCCATCAAGACAACATCATCGACTACTACAGGCGAGTAGGTTAATGCTCCTTCTGCCTGGATCACACTTTTGTTTCAAATGCAAGGGCTCAGAGATACTCCTTTTCACACAGACTGGGCGCAAATAGGGTACACAGTGCTGGGATTCTTGGTTAAGATTATCTGTCTTACGTTGAGAAAATGTGCAACGTCACCGGATACTTAATATGGGCTCCGGCTTCTTGAATCCGGTCATTGTCCCTTTGGGGAAAAAAACAAGATTAAAAAAAACATTCCTCGATCAATTGTCGTTTGTGTACTATTCCTAGATGGTTAGTTCTTTCCCATATGCATGATTATCGATTTGATTATAACGATGGTTTTGGTCATCTAGGCTATTACACTCATATGTCGAAACATATAACCTATTGCATTCATTCGTCGTTTGTCGCATACTTATGGTAATGTTAAAGACCGAAAGTGCTTTAACTGATGTATATCTCCAGTTTCTCTCAAGACAGTCATTCTTGTATCGAGTATTAATCTCAGGTGTACCTTCCAAGTAACAAGAGCGCGGTTTTGTGGTTGCTGGACCAGATGTTTCGATCTCTCAGCTTTTCGTCGCGACTTTGGCCTTTATGGCTCATCCTACACAACACAAATAGCAATCGCAATTCAAAATGTTGCATCATTTACACATTGAGTAGTTTCTTCATCTTTGACAAACTTTGGTGCAATATAACAAAACTCCATATTACTCGTCTCTCCAGCTTATAACACAGTTACACTTGAACCCCAAGAGCGGCAAATAGCGAAAAAGTAACCGCTCAACCCCCCCCCCCCCCCCCCAAAACAACAACAACAACAACCACAGCACCGGGAATTCGCTGGCCGTCACCTATTCGACTGCCAACCAAGTCACAAGCCTCACTAATTCTTACGAGGCCGGTAAACATGTTTTGTCGTGACATGTTGACCATTATACTTATACTCCACAGTCAGGTGTTCTACATTGTCATTCGCATTCGAATGCCAGCTATCTCCCCCACTGTTCTGTGATCAGTAAAACACATTATTTTGTCAAAGTATGTTGAGTATAATTATATATGTTGCTGAAATGCTTTTTTTCTGTTTCCATTACTTACACGTGTCTAGGAGTACATTTCACCAAGGCTTCGTTGGCGGGACGATTGCCTAGATCTTTGGGAGCAGATGCTAGGATAGCCTCTTCTGCCGATGTAGTCCGCTTCAACTCATTGGTGAAAGCGATTGAGGAGGGACCCGCGAGAGGCATGTTGATGAATAGATTGGGTGGTTGGAAATACGAGGAAAATGTAGAGAGAGCCAAGAGTATAGCAGTGAATCAGGCTAGAGAAGAGCTGGAGTTATAGGCAGTATGCTTTGTTGCTGTTGTTTGAAGACACCCTCTCTGTCCTGGGATGACTTCCATTTATATATCTGGAACTTTCTTCTGTTACTATCTACTAATATCTGCATTATAGTAACACGAAGCATACTGGGACAGCCTTATGGATTTCCACGAGGCTGACCACCTCAATGACCTTGAATCTGGCGCGCGGTTATAGCAGTGGGTATTCTCTCCTTTATCACACCAACCCCCAAATTCCTCAACTCAATGCCTCCTCTAAGTCTCTATCAGGCTGCTTAAGACAAGTGATTGAAGGCGCTCGGATAGAGCATCTGTGAAGGCTTGCTGGGATCGGGAATCCCCGAACAGGGTCACTGAATAGATTGGATTGGCTCAACAAAGAAGTGGATTATTAAATGCGGCGGCCAACAGAGTTTCAGTTGGTGATTTTAATGCATGCTCGACATGACGTGATATCGCCGTTGCTCTGCAAGACTCAGAAAGTTACGAAAGATCTTGGTATTCAAATCTCTATCAAGAAGTGAATGTACTGAACATCATGCAGGTGAACTGTTGGACCCAGGATCATTATGACCGCGCTACGCTACACTGGTTAGCTCATTTTCGGCCCTCATTTTTCGACCAAGGAGGAGTGGTGCCGGCAAGGCGCCCTCAGGCATCCGATTGGCCAACGCCTTCATACAGGTACGTAGGTACCTAAATATGCTGGAGGGAGGGGGACTCACAATACAGTGGGGTAAACTGCAGTCCATCATCACAGTCCCCAAATGCTGGTGCCAGTGTGCCTTCAATTGATGTGGCTTTGATGCAGCACCAACAGTAGGACCCATCTCTCCTAGGTCCCGTTATGGCGGGCCAATCGCTGGACATACCATTGAAAGCGACTAATAAATCGCGCCTTACCGCGCGCTTCAGCAGTACACATACCCATGGACCTTTTACAGTGTACATAATGTACTTCGCAGTAGGTAGTAGATAAGGATACTCAGCGGCTAGAGGCCACCCAGCAGAGAAAATGGGGGTCCGGAACTACCTTGGGCATCCCGCCGTGATGGATCGCGCACGTCATGCGAAGGGAGGAAAATTGCTCGGTCGATCAATAAAAGTAGAAGACTCTGGCGTCGCTGCGTCCTTCAAAGGGTGTCCTTCATAAAATGAAAAGCATTGTTCCTAAGCGGCCTTTACCAAGAGATCTTGCTTTCAAGACTGTGTTTGCCTCAGCGACGCACGGGCCACTTTCACCTCAAGCAACCTCCGCATTCCAACCCTCTACCCAGCTCCCGGTCAGAATCGTTGAAGACAAAAAACACCATTTTGCTTCGATCAAGATGCCAGACTCCGGGACTCATGAAATGAAAGCCCCAGCGTCAGAAAGCCAAAGCTCTGCGAACCCCTTTGCTGCCCAACAAGCAGCAGAGCCAGCAGCAGAGCCAGCAGCAGAGCCACCAGCAGCAGAGCCAGCAACAGAGCCAGCAGCAGAGCAGCATCCTGAGAGGCTCGATTTAGATCTGCCTGATGATGTGGTCATTGAAGAGGGCTCAGAAGCATACAGACCTGGTAATTTCCACCCAGTGTACATTGGCGATATCTACAATGGGAAATACTTGGTCTTGAACAAGCTGGGCTACGGTCTCTATTCCACGGTGTGGCTGGTGAGAGACACATCTTTGCCGTGAGTCGTTCTCCCTCCTTCAACCCCATCTCAAGCCAAAAAGCTTATGCTCCCCAGACAAGATGAAGGCCAAAAATATTATGCTCTGAAGGTATTGAGTGCGGATTGTTATGGCACTGACAAGGACATCTTCGAACGAGAGATCCTGCGACATCTTCGTGACGCTGACAAGACACATCTCGGTTACAAGTACATCTGCCATCTCGTCGATGACTTTGAGCACTGCGGCCCAAACGGAACTCACGTATGCCTCGTGTTAGAGCTAATGGGAGAAACCCTGAAGACATTCGGCACTTTATTCAACAAGACTATGATACCAAATCCACTCATGAGACGATTCACCTTCTATCTCCTTGCTGCACTCGATTATGCCCACGACAGCAACGTGATCCATACAGGTAAATGACAACCAAAAGCTCTCACGTTTGACTTGAAGAGGCTAATCAAGAGTATTTTTTTTTGGGAGAAGACATCAAGCCCGACAACATTTTCGTCAAGGTTCGGGACAGCTCGCTTATCGAGTCTCAATATCTGAAGCAGGTCCCGGCTCCAGTTCAGGATAAGCTTGCCGACAAGTACTATCCGATAGCGTCACAACCTCTCACAAGGTTTTATTTCACACCCGGCCAACCTATTTTGGACTTCGAGGTGGCCATTGGCGACTGGGGTGTCTCCTCATGGGCTGACAATCATCTTACCGAATTGATTCAACCCGTCTTACTTCGCGCACCCGAAGTTCTCATCAAAGCTCCTTGGGATGCTTCCACTGACTGGTGGAACCTCGGTGCCGTGATTCTGGAAGTGTTTCGCTGCGTCCGCATGTTTGATGGTCGTGCCCCTCCTCATGGACACTATGAGCTGAAGCAACACCTGAGCGAGATGGTTGCATATTTTGGTCCGTTTCCGCGACGGCTGCTGGATAAGGGAGATGCTGAGCTGGTCGCGACCTGCTTTGACGAGTCTGGTCATGTTCGGGGCGCTCCTGCACTCGAGATGCCCAGTCTCGAATCGGATGATTATATGGATGACCTCGACCAGGAGATCCGTAAAAGCTTTGTATCATTCCTGCATGCGCTCATGAAGATTGATCCGCAAGAGCGTCTGTCTACTATGGATCTCATACGACACCCATGGTTGGGTATAGAAGGGCTTTGATCATGAACATTTACATACAAACTGTATGTGGTGTAAAGACGGCCCAACTCAGATACCAGCTGGAGTCACATCGCAAAGAATGATGCTAGATTAGAAAGATCTTAGAAATATTTGACTAAATGGAGTCCCGGTGCAAATGTTTGACGACTTGAGTCTTGTCGTATTTGATTAGTCAGAAGCGATTGGATCTTCTGGCCCAAAAGATGACACTATCAGCCATATAAATCACGTTGAGGTACATGCTGCTCAAGCTCTGCTTCATGATGTCGACCCAAACCGATGGTCAAGACAAATACCTCTCGAATGTATTGCGCAAGACTGTTGTCGCTTCACGGTTATGTTCAATTTGACTGATATTATGTCAGTACACACTGCATACATATGTAGTAGGTACAGCGGGCGGTCTTCCCGTGCACCAGCCCGCTGTTGCATTGTTTGTCTGCCGCCTGGTATTGCTTTTGGTCTCTGTCTTGTCGCAAACTGCATATCACTGAGCAGCAATGACCCCAAAGCTCCCAACACCTGCCCTGCTGACCGGGCCAAAAGAATAAGCCCATAAGCCTCAAAGCTAAAAGTCTTTTGCCCGAACCTACTCCAACACCAGAGACAACCCCTCGGGCTTAGCTCCTGACCTGTAAGAAGCAATCATGGAACGATTTGTTGGAGTTGGTGCATGTTACATTGACACCATTCTGTGGTTAGTCTTTCAATCTGTCATGTTATGCTCGTATGGCGCTCTCGATTGACCGGTAGGCATAGCGTGTCTCAGTACCCTTCCGAAGATGAAAAACAACGAGCGTTAGATATCTCGACGAGACGGGGAGGGAATTGTCCAAATACCGTAGAAGTCCTTCAGGAGCTTCTCCGACCTGTCGATGCACCAACATCGTTGAATTTGATCGCAGTGCTACCCAGTCGACAGTCCAGTGCCGCGAGGAAAATTGAAGAGACACTCGGCTCAGGCGTGTCCTTACAAGCATGCATATATCGCGAAGACCACGACGAGCCACCGTCGAGCTACATTATTCGAAGCGTCGCTACCAACTCACGCACCATCATCAATTATAATAACCTCCCCGAGATGACTTGCGACGAGTTCTGTCAGGCCGCCAGTGTGTTCAGCACAGGAAATACCTGGTATCATTTTGAGGTGCCAACAGTCCTAGGGAACTCCATTGCGCGGGGCTAATCAGCTACAGGGCGAATTCCGGATGTCACTCTTCAGTGTATAAGCCAACTCCGACAATCACATGCGGACGTTCGAATCAGCGTAGAGTTGGAGAAGCCGGCAAGGGATGGATTGCAAGGTCTTGTCCCGGAAGCGGATGTGGTCTTCTACTCTAAAAGCTGGGCAACGTTTAGTCAACACATATTGCACTGATGTTCACTCATGCACTATTTGACCTTTAGGAATTCCGTTAGCCAGAAAACTTACAGCTATGACCGATATTGACTCCAGGCATTTTGTAGGGCAATGGATACCGCGACGCTGAAAAGTGTCTTCGAGCTCAAGCCAAACTGGCCTCCAACGCGTGAGTGAGCTCATGCGACCCCTCTGTCAAAGCTCACTCCTGCTAATATTTCTCTTCTACAGCCTGCTTCTATGTTGTACTTGGGGTACGCATGGTTCGTTTGCCTTGGAGCCTCGTACGAGCGCCTTCTGCGGCACGGATGCTTATCTTCCGGAAGCTTCAAAGGTGATTGAGTACGTGCACGAGCACTCCAGCCATTTGATATCCCCAGTCTAATGAATTCTTAGCACCATTGGTGCGGGAGATACATTCATAGCGGGAATTCTCTTTACCTTTCTGGAAGGACGGCGAAATTGGCCTCTGAAACAGAGATTTGCCTTTGCAAATCGTCTCGCTGGTTTCAAAGTTGTCCAGGAAGGATTTTCTGGGCTGTTTGACCGCATGCAACTTCGACCGTAATGGGGGATGTGCGTGACCCTCGACCTCTGCAAGAGAATACCTACCGCCACGTAAATGCGTTCCTGCTGAGGATAGACTGCGATCTGCGGCACAAGGAGACGCATTCAACAACCCAGAAGTTGCCATCTGGCACCCAGTCACTGGTCATCTCCTCATCCTCTATGAGGACACAAGATAGTGGAATGGAATATCGTCGACGAAGAACAGCTGGTTTACAGCCACACCAGGGCAATGTGAATGTCAATGTCACTCAGCCACGATGGTAGCTTCCTACTCACGAGCGATGACCAATCGTCAAGAGCACCTCGACATAAAGTACAAGAAGAAGTACTGAGCGGAAAAGAGTTGCTGCTTATGGAAGTCACCAGCGATGGCCATGAGGAGCATGCTGCGCCGCGACGTTAATTTGAGCTCTTGGATCTTGCCGCCATCAAACTCAGCCCGGAGCCGAATAACCAACACAGTCAGGCGCTAAACATAGTTCCTGGAAGATCACCTCGTAGGCTGCTTCTAGGACCGAGTAGTCTTCCTCGATCATCAATTTTGGGTCTGCACTTGGGAGGTCGAGGAGCGCAACTATAGACATGAGCGTCACTTTTTCTTGCCCAAGGATTGAATCAACTCTACGGCATTGAAGATGATAATCATCAATAAGCATGGGTACATACTCTGCCCCAAAGGTGAAAATGTCGCAGTCATCAAGTCAGATATATATAATGTCCTTCATTTATAATGCAGATGAAGAGCGGAAGCAAGACATGACTCGGGGGGCTTGGCAGGCGGGCCGCACTTGTGAATAGGTCAATAGGTTCAACTGTTACCTATCTACGCTTGTGCACTATGTCGCAACGTTGGGAGAAACGTCACTCAAATCTGTACCACTATATCTCCAGCGCCAACTTTCTTGGCCTCTGCATTTAAGGCGTCAATCTCAGCTTTGACGTACGGAATGCCAGTCTTGAGTCTTTCCCTCTCACTCAATTGTTCGATTTCACCAGGGAAATAAATCCGATCCACACCTGTCGCTTTTTCTGACCCTACAACTCGGTCATATAGGTAGTGTATGCGGTTGCGGAAGTCGTCCAAACTCATAAAAAGGTCTGGCTTTATCGCTATCAAGAAATGCCCAACATCTGCAGGCTTGGATGGGTTGAGGGGTCCAGTAACATGGCCAGCAAAAGCTGAACCTGAAAGTACGCCAGAGAAAACGTCCATCATGATAGCCAATGCAGATCCTTTAGGTCCACCGATGGGAAGCATGACCCCCTGAAGTGCGCTTCGCCATGTTAGCCTCTTATTGTACTCTAAAGCAGGAGAAGCAGAGGGGGGCAGATGGGCTACTCACGCAGTCGGGTCATCGGTGGGCTGCCCTTCGGCATCAATAGCCCAATCAAAGGGAATCTTCTCCCCTCGGCGCTCGGCCTTGAAGATCTTGCCACGAGCTGCCACGGACGGTGCCATGTCAAGGATGAAAGGATTGTCCAAGCCAGGAGCACCACATGCGATGGGCGAAATCCCCATAAGTTTGCTTCTACCTCCCCAAACAGGCATCGCTGGGCTTGAGTTGGTAAATACCAAACTCATCATATTGGCATCAATCGCTTGTTGGCAGATCCATGCAGCCATGCCAAAGTGGTTTGAATGCTTGATACTAACCATACCAATACCAAATTTCTCTGCCATTTCAATCGCCAGATCCATGCCGGCATGTGCGGCGACGAATCCAAAGCCGTTGCGGCCATCAATCTGACCAACTACAGGTGTGACCTTGGTGATGATCGGGTCGGCGGTTGCGTCGAGTAGACCTTGTTTGATACGTGCTATATAGGAAGGGATGCGATTAATGCCGTGGGTATCCACTCCTCGCAGGTCTGCCTTCACCAAACATTTTGCAACCGTGGCTGCGTTGCGCTGGGAAACACCATTGCCTTGTAGGACATCTTCGACAAATTTGCGAGCGTCCTCTGGACGTACGTGCAGCTTGGGCGATTCCGATTGGATGTTGGCCATTTTGGAAATTCGTTCGTGCAACGCGATTCACGATGTTTGTTAGATTTAATAATGAATAATTGATTGCCTTGGAGAGCTTGTGATTATAGCTATCTAAAGGTTTCAGTTTAGAAATGAAGACGGTGCCGAGAGCTATCATTATATACTGGGCGCGAAAACCCACATTCCCCACCGTCACCATCATTATATTGCTCGGTCTCGGCCCGTGGCCGAGAAATGCTTAAGAGTTAGTCGATTATAGTAGATGTCCTGCTAATGATCAGCACGCTATATGGCCCGCGACGCAGTTTCTGATGTGCCCTCCAAGAACCCCTGAGCAATCAAGCTTTTGACGAAAGCCACGACTCCATTGATGGCCACCGGCGGTATTCTCCTATCCTTGTCAAACGAAGGGTCATAGGATGCAATAGTCAACGACACGGGTTTGGACTCGGATGGAATCATTCTCAAGCATCTCTCCAAGTCATCTTCCAATAAGCCACCGGGAGCAGAGAACTTGTTCACATTCCCGACCGAGGTGTCGAGAGCATCAAGATCAAGGTGCACCATGGTCTCGCCCAATTTCTTATCCTTGAGGAGTCTGTGCAGCTCACCCTCGAAATCAACCTGCTTCTCAGTGTCGCCCCATATGACCGGAAATCTAGCCTCCACGACGCGCGAGCGCTCGAGCTCCGTGACATCGCGCATGCCGCAGTGGACGAGCTGGCGCTGGAGGTCCAGCGGCTTGAAGCCAGGAATGCTGGCTAGAAGCGTCTTCCAGCCCAGGCCCGCCAGCATTGCCACGGGCATGGAGTCGAGATACCCGCTAGCCAGAACATCGGGAGTGTTGAAGTCGTCGTGAGCGTCGAACCAGACGCAGGAGGGAACGATGTTCCTGGCAGCCGCATAGCCCGCCTGGACGCCGACGGTGGTGGAGCAGTTACCCGCCAGCAGAATGGGGAACGAGTTCTGCTGCACGACTTGAGTGACGGTCTTGGATGTGCGTCGCAAAAGCTCAAATAAGCGGCCTATCTCGCCGTCGAATTCTTCAACAGATTCAAGTTCCACCACACGGACTGCTATGCCCTGCTGCTGGATGGCATCTGCGAAGCCCGCGGCCAGCAATGCTGTCGGTCCAGCGCCGACGGCAGCGTCGCGGACGCCGAGATGATACGGCGAGGAGATAATGGTGATGGATTTTGCCAGAGCCATATCTGGTGTGATGGAAGGAAAAGATTGCGATGCGCTGCTGATGAAAGATGCGCAATAAGATTTCGCGTAAGTAGAGGGTATGGTGGTAAAATGATGCCAGCCTGGGCGGCGAAGAAGTCGACCAAAATTGCAGAATATCATTTGAAATCTGAGTGAAGGATGAAAGTGGAAATAAATGAATCTTGTACTATATTATCAATCCCCCTTTATTTTGATAAATGTCTTGCGAAGGGCGTCAGTGACGCTTTTACCCCGCCACCTTGCCTCTAAAGTTGAAGCGTGTTGGATATTCTATAAGCATTATTTCGACAAAACAAGCTAGCACATAGACACGAATTGAAATGGTGGATATAATTGTGCCTCGCTTGACTCTGTTCGGGAATTTCGATAAATGTTTATTGGGATGACTCATTTCTCTGATTCATGTCCCCGAACTCGCAGGGATCCTATGACGCTTTATTCTCTGAATGACAGTCAGAGTATAAAGATGACGATACAAGTTCAATTTTTAGAATAATACGAGTCTGAATTTATAACTTAATCGGAATGATCCACGTAAATTATATCTATTTTTCTATAATAACCAAATCGGATCCTGTAAGGCTTTAAGCTGTGTCCTAGGCGAGCTTCTTGCTGCACATCAATAACGAGCCACAAAGGAATCACCATCCCACCAAGACGTAACAAAGACCCAATGTTCTTGGATCACGTTTTGCTAGCACTCCACTCGCAAAAGCCAGAAATGCCAAGAACGCCGCACTTGTCATCCAAAGCTCTAGCTTGAATGACCTGGATGAGTAAAGGTGCTCGATAATCGGATCACGGTACCTTCCAGCAGTTTTCTCTTCTGGTGTAAGCAGCTTGAAGTTGTCGTGGACGTCGAATCAGATGCAAAAGCGAACGGTGTTACCGGCAGCTGCATAAGAAAAAAAA